TTTGGAGCGTTTCACCGTCCACAGCCTGGACTCAGCGGTGCTGTTTGGTGTCAGCAGCACCTCGCCAGAGGAAGCCTGTGCACAGGTGACTCCTCCAGACATGTGCATCTACAGGTCGACACGCATGTGCACACAAACACAAACACACTTCATAAAAACTTCATTTAATCGTTTTAGAAGTGTTAACAGGCGGCTCTGTGGTTCTTTCTGACTCTGTTTTTAATTATTTAAAGCAGCCTGTCTGTGCCGGACAGTCTCAGGATGTGAACTTTGACCTTTCCCCTGATCAGGTGTTCTGTGAGGCCAAGCGGACGTCTCCCAGCATCCTCTACATACCGCACATCCAGCAGTGGTGGGACACTGCGGGGCCGGCACTGAGGGCATCCTTCCTCAGCCTGCTGGGCAGCATCCCGTCCTTCTCCCCCATCCTCCTCCTCGCCACCTGCAGCGTGTCCTTCCAGCAGCTGGACCCAGAGGTGAGGACTGAAGCTTTATCTTTCCTTTGTCCCTCAGCTGTGTCCCTGTGCGTGGAGGTTTTACAGGTTTTTATCTTCGATGCTGTGCTGCTCCCAGATTCAGAGCCTGTTTCGGGAGGACTACGGGGAGGTCTACGTCCTCAGAGTTCCCACCCAGCAGGAGAGGACCAGCTTCTTCCAGGATCTCATTCTGAACCAGGCGGCCGAGGCCCCTCCCTCTAAGAGAAAAACATGTGTGTGACTCCGCCTTCATGCTGCGGTTGTTAAGCCCAGAGTGTGATAGATCGCTCACTCTTTCCTCCTCCTCATCTCTCAGTATCTCAGGCAATGGAAGTCCTCCCCCTAGCTCCACCGCCGCCTCCTCGCAAAATGTCAGAGCAAGAGCACCTCCGCCTGGAGGAGCAGGAGGAGGACGTGCTGCGAGAACTCCGTCTCTTCCTGCGAAACATCACCGAGCGCCTGTCTCTGGACCGCCGCTTCAAAGCCTTCACCAAACCGGTCGACATCGAGGAGGTGAGAGTTTGAGAGAAAGACACGCCGACATCTCAGTTTTAAGGTCGTGAATAATTAAACAAACGGAATCGGATCAGTTCACGCCTTCCTCCCAGCTCCACGCCGTACATGTTATTAAAAAAGCGTGCAGCAGATTCAGTGCAGGTTGATGAGGTCAGATGGCAAGACCAGACTCACGGGTCAGCAGTCGTCTTAGCTGAGCCCGGTTCTGTCGGAGGTTTCTTCCTGTTAAAAGGGAGTTTTTCCTTCCC